GGCTTCCTTTCAATAAGCCTAGGTACAAACAAAGTATCTGGGCCCAATTTGGGTTGATTATGAGGTCTCTGGTCACTGAAATATTTGTTTACAAGTTTCCTAACTCTCTGACAGTGCTGCAGTATGATGGACATAGAAGGGCGAAGAGTGAGTGATCACTGGTTGTTCTTCAGACTCTTCTCAGGTGAGGGTTGGGGCAGGGGCAGTAATGGTGGTAATCACCAGGAGACATGAGGCACTAGCAGGCGGGGTTGATGGTGGCAATGATGAAGATAATGGTACCAATAAAGGTGGTGATGAAGGTGATATTGGTTGTGGCATCTGTGGTAAGGGAGATGATGATGACCACAATAATAGGATGAAGTCATTGATGGTGATGGTAACGAGAGTAACATTGACAATGATGACAACAGTGATGTTGGCAGTGTTGACAGAAATAATATCAACAGTGAATGTGGAAATGATGTTGACGTTAGATAAGGGGAAATGACAGTGATGATAGGCTGATGGTGGAGAGAGTAACATTCTTATGGTAGCAGGGGGTAATGTTGGTGACAGTGGGAGTGATCAGGCTCCCTATGGAGTGTACCTCTTGGGGCAGTCCACTAAGTAGTCCTGACCCACGTGTGGGTTGTGCCCTCGCTTAAGGCAGGATGCACTGGGTCTTATTTGGTTCTCTTTTTCTTTTAACCTCTAGTGAGCACAGTCTTCTAGGTAATGAGATGCAAATTGACAGAAAAGACAATGAGCCAGCCTGAGGCCGGTGGGGCAGCTTTTAGAGTCAGACTGATTGCCTCCATGCCAATTTGCATGGCATTAGCTGTGCACATCTCCATTGGGCTTGTGCATTTCATCAGAGGTCACCCAAATAGTTGCATCCTACGAGAGGCAACAACCTGTGATACCAGACTAGGGTCAGGATCACCCTGACCCTGACCTGAACTGGGCTCCAAGATGTGCTCTAAGAAGTCTGGGTATGTGTAGAAGTGCAGTGGATTGAGGGGCTTCATGATCAGCTAAGGACAGGAATGGCCAATTGGTTAGGCTCCATGAGGGAGAGCCTAGGAGGTCTGGCTTGATCCTCACCATGTTTCCTTCTGAGCACGATAGAAAGGCCTCAGGCAGAAGAGAGACCTGGCCCTGGCCTGAGATGCCTCACAATAGGTCCAGGCTCTGTCCCTAACTGGCACTGTGACCTGGGAAGTCCCTCCAGGCCTTGGTTCCCCCATTTGCAGTAGAGCCAGCAGGTCCCTGACCTCATGGTCTCCACATTGAAGATGATGATCACAAATCTTGCCTGTGGCATGCCCAACAAGACTGGTTCAGGTCCACTTCTCCATGCCCAGAGTCATGTACTATAGCCCTCTGAGCAGCCCACTCTGTTACTGCCACCGTCACTCAAGGCTATGCCCAGGGTAGTTCCTAGAATGTGACCCAGGAAGGCCTAGACAGTGTAGGACCCAGGTCATTTTCCAAACTCAACCCCTCTTGGCTGCCCTGCCAGTCCCTCCCATCTCTGTGCATGGTGCTGAAAGTTTTGACTCCTCTGCCTTGGATCTCTGGTGCCAAGGTAGGTTGTAGACCCCTCTTCTTCTGCACTTGCTCTTCAAACCAATGAAACGCATAAATCCACACCCCTTCCTAAGAACAGACAGCAATATGGCTGGGCTTCTTCTCTGCCTTCTACCCACAGCCTGGCCAATGCCCCTCAGGCACATCCCAGTGCCCATTCCCACCCCGCCTCCCTCTTCACTGTCCCACTCCTTCTCCTGAGGTTGGGCCTAATCAGAGCTAATCAGAAAATTATGAGCTACCTGATTACTGATTAGATTCCTAATGTTAATAGAGTCAAGAAGGGCCTGCTCGGGCTGTGTTTTAGGAAAAAGTATAAAAATAACATCATGGGAAGGGAGTATGGCAGTCAGGTGGGGGCTCAGGCTGTGGTTGGGGGGGTCTCAGATTCAGCTTTCTAGTGGGAATTTATTTCATAGTAAAGGGGCTTCCTGGCACTCCAAGCAGCTCTTGCACGTTAGCAAGCAGTTAAGAACAGTGGACTGAATTACAATGGGAATAAATTAGGTGGGATATAGAGAACTTACTGATGGTCTACCACATGGCAGCAAGGCCACATGTGTCCTGCTTAGTGACCTGCTTGTGCCCAACACTGGCCAGGTACACAAGTCTTTAATAAGCATTTGTTGACATGAAGGAACCCTTCCCACGAGAACTGCCTCCCTTTGTCTGTCCATCCCTAAGCCATGGTGTAGAGCACAGGGATATCTCAAAAGGTATCTTAGAGGAGGATATTGGGGCATTCTGGAGAATGTACTGCTCTCGAGCCAGGGCAGTAAATACCTGGTCCCTAGGGACTCAATTCCTGGCTTCCCTGGCCAGATGAGGTACACATGTTCGCCACCCCTACCTTCTCATTCCAGCAGAGCCCACTTCATCACTGACTTGGCAGCTGGACAGGCTTGGTAGGTGACATTGTCACAAGGTCCAGAGTGGTGTTGGGGTCCTTGGAGAGTAGATGTCAGCAGAGCAGACTTTAAAGGCAGTCCCATGAGCTCCACTGCAATGTCACCAGTGACACCTATCCATAGACTCCACTTTACCCTACCCATCCCTTCCCCTTTACCATCTTGTGTCCCTGTTCTCTGTCATCAGCACTGCTTCTGGCCTGATCTCAGTCCCAGGGAACCCACAACCTCCAAGCCAGCAGACCCCTGATGACTCCTCCTGAACCTACCCCTGCCTACCCCATTACCATGATGGGAGCCTGGAGCCAGTTAGCATTTCTGTGTTGAGCTGAACTGCGTCCAGCTCTGAGGCTACACAGATCCATGAATCAAGTCCCTGCCATGAGGGACAACATCTGGGATTGAGTCAAATGCACCTGCATTGGAAGAACCCCACAGGGGATTCTGGAACCCAGCCTGGCAGGCACTAAGCTTCCTAAAAGAGGTTGCTGAGCATCAGTTCCAAAGGATGAGGAAGAGCAGGACAAGTAAGGAAAAGGAAGAGCAGTCCAGGCTCAGGGCACCACACAGACAAGGGTACAGAGCATGGGCATGGCAGGCAAATAGAGCCTGGAAGGAAAATGATGAGGTTGACAGGGCCCTGTAAAGATGGCAACCAGAAGAAGGCATGGTCAGGACACCCAGCAATCATCAGCAAAACACAGTAGCCAGTGTGGGGGCACAGAGTCCTGTGGAGTTCTGGGGAGATGAACTCATACACAGTTAGAGTGTGTGATCTAAAGTTAGACCAGGGTGCCCTGGAAAGGTCTATTCAGGAAAGGGAGAAAGTGTCATGGGAACAGGGGGCTTCAGAGGGGAGATGTCTGAGAAGTGATGCAGCATGGGTAGGGCTCTGGACACCAGCGCCTCCCAGCAAAAGTGGTGCTGAGGAAAGGGACAGCCCATTAGCACGAGCTACAGAAGAAGTCAGGTCAAGCCAAGGTCAGCAGGCCCAACTAGGTTGGGGTGGAATAGAGGAAGCAGTCAAGAGAATGCTTGAGGTACAGCAAGAGAAGAGGAAACCCAAGTCCTGGTGTTGTATCTGCAAAGAGAATCCACATCCTGCCTTCTATCCATGCCTGCTCTCTGTGTTTGCCCAGAGCCCTGAGGGGGAGGGGGAGGCAGGGTTCTGGTTCCCATTATACAAGCAAGAAATCAAAGCCCAGAGAAGCAAAGGCAGTGTCCACCAAATTACACATGGGGCCAGTAGTGGAGCCTCAGGAACCCAAGCCTCTCAGCTCTGTGGCAGGAAAGGGGGATATTGTCACATATTAGCACATACACCATGCCCACACATGTGGCGTGATGAGGGAACAGGAAGCAGTTATGTGCTCTGAGGTACACTTAGGTAATGCCATGTCATCCTGGTACCCTTACCTGGTGCTTTCCAAAGGATGAAAGAAACTGACGAATTATCTTGGGTCATAATCCAAAGGGAGAGAAATTGCCAAAACTGGCAAAGTTGTGAGAAATTCCATCTGACTCACCTACAGAGATGGATGAGTTTCATGCTGGGGTTTGAGCAGGTGTACCGAGCTTGGTTGGTGGGTTGCCACTCATTTGTACCCCTGGATTGAGCTGGTTGCAGCAACATAACCAGATAGGCAGAGACATGCAACCCCCAGAATGTGGCTGCCCAGCTCTACACTCACCTTCCTGACATGACCAGCTGCTAGAGTTGAACCCTGTCCAGGATAGACTTCCCTGAAATCCCTGAGAAATGGTCTATGAATTCATGATGGCCCTGTGAATGCTGTGCCCGGTCTCAGAGGTCCCTTTCCTCACCCCTCAGCCTATTGGTTCCTGCCCTGTAACACACCTAACCCACTCTTTCTGTGTGGACCAAGGTCCCAGTATGAAGCTAAGCAGTGAAGCAGTATAATTGATGCCCTCCCCTGTGAGTTCCCTTTGGCTTCTTTGCTTCCCTGGATGGGAGTATCTGAGATCACGGCCTCCTCCTCAAAGTGCCTACCCATGGTGACATGCCAGTTCCGAGCGTGGGTTTTTGTAAGTGTTCTTCTTTGGCAAAATACAACATAGCATCTGTTCTTTGGGACCCAGGATCTTCTGGGAAACTCTTTTGGTTCTGAAATTGGCCCACACTGATTGTCAAGGTCTTGCCCTCCCCACCTCCATCACAGGCCACCCTTTACTTCTGATATTTTTCTTGGGAAATTAAAACACAGTCTGTCCCTTCTAGGCAGCACTGAGGGATGTAGGAATCGATAACAAAGCCCATGTTGCCCACAGGGAGGGAGTGAGCACAAGCCCAGGGGTGGAGAAGCAGTTGCCCCCCTGCAGAAGGAGATCACAACACCAATGAGTTTTTCCCAGTACATGTATTCTGACCTTTTTTATTTTTCTGTTTTTAAAGGAAAGAAATCTATTTTACTAATTTTTTTAACTTGTGGAAGGCATACATGGCCAATGAGGGAAAAGGTCAGGGAGGGACCTAACAAGAGACTTATGTGAGGGCTTTACCTGTAGCAGTCTGTGCCAGGGCTGTTTGATATTTCCTCCGTAGGGCTTGGTTGCTGGAATTTTGGTCTAAATTTCAGTGTTTGTTTTACATTGCGCCGATGGTGGTTTCGTCTTTGAGCTAGAAGCAAGATTAATACAGAAAGTATGCTTGTTAGGATGAGCCTTGAGAAGGAGGCAAGTGTGTACCATACAGAAGCCACAAGGGATAAAGGAAGAGACCTCACAGGATGGGCAAAGCTGTGTGCCACTCTGCCCCTCAGGAAAGCAAAGCCTCCAATGTGTCCCCTTTACCTGCCATACCTAAGTCTAGACCCTGGTCAGCCCATTCTGCCCATCCTAGGTGCTTCAGTTTATCCCTAAGAACTCAGCAAAACAAAGGACTGGGACAAAAACTTCCGTCAGAAGGTCATAGTGAGTGAGGTTGTGCTCATAAAGCTGAGACAGATGGTGGCTGTGAGAACCACTGAAGGAGCCATCGGCCACATAGCAGGCACATCCATCCACACATACACTATCCCCAGGCCACAAGTTGGGCAGGAATGGACCCAGCTGGGATTCTGGGGCTCCCTGACTGTGGAGCACCTATTGGTGCTGTTGGTGGATAGATACATCAGTGAGCACTCAAGGCTGAGGTAACAGGAAGGAGAGACCCAGAGGGCCAGGAACCTGACCCTGCCTGCACTTCTGCCTTATTGTCAGCCTGGGGCTCCTGCTCCCTCCTTGCTGAGCTACATCTTGCTTCATTATCATGCAGATATTTTAATTATGCAGGTATGTTTTTAGACAGTTTTAAATATGTATATTATTTACTCATTAGACCATAACAGCTCTGGAAATTGGAAATCTGTATTTAGTGTCTATCAATGCACAATACGGAGCTAATACAGGTCCCACGGGAAGGGAGGGAGGGAGCAATGTCAGAGTACTGGGCATCCCCTCCTAAGGTATGGACCCAGTGACCCCAAGATTGGGAGAAGGCTCAGGACAGTACCTGGGATGCCAGTTCCTGGTCCCCACTCAGGAAATGCAGAGGAGCCACCATAGAGAGTGGGAGGGCAGCTGAGTCCAGGTGGCCAGGCCCCACCTGGCAGACCAGCCCCTTGCCTGGGATGGTCATCCAACACTGATGGACTGCGGCACCAAGTAGACCTCAGGAATGCTCCCTCTATCACTTCATTGCCAGGGCCGAAGGCAGTGGCACGTCAAGCCTCAGTCCCCTCCACCGCAAATGAATTAGCCTCAGGCATTTGCAGTCCTTCATCTGGCACTGGATTATCGGTACCAGGTGGTGAAGCCTCAGCCCAGAGTGGGGCTGTGCCTGGTGTTGCAGCCCTCTGGCAGTGCTTTCAGGGCATCGCATGGTACTAGCATTCTACCGTGGGCTTTCTGCCCCAGCCACTACCTCAGAGCTACCCCTCTATCACAGCTTCTGCCTGATGCAGCCCCAGGGCCCCAGATCTCCACATCCTGGGCCACAATTTCAGGACCTTTTATTCTAAGCCTTTGGTATCCTCTTGAAATCAGGAGTAGCAATAACCAATAAGACCAAAAAGCTCTTACAGTCTTTCCCTCTGGACTGTACTGCTGAACAAGTCCTGTTTGATAGGCAGTTGCTCCCTAGGCCCTCAGCCACCAGCCCTAGGGAAGGGGGTTCTAGTAAGGTGGGAAGGAAGAGGCAAAGGAGAAATGGGAAATATCCAGATGGAACACCTAAGAGATTGACACACCAAAGGGCTCTGACTCCCCAAGTCCATGCCTTTCCCCTCCCAGCATGCGGGGCCCTCACCCTCTAGGTTCTGGCCTCTGAGGTTCCTTATCTCACATCATTGTCTGCCTCAGCTCCCTGAAGTTAAAGATGTTTAACTTAGTACCAGTGTAGGGGCCAATCCCCAGAGGACTATTGTCCCCAGCCTAGTGCACTGCTAGACCTCTTGTTTCTTGCCTTTTCTTGTGAGAGTGGTTCCCAGAGCTGAGGGAAATTGATTGTTAACTGAAACTCTCTGATAATTGCCTGTGAAAGGCCTATTGTTATCATTATGCACTTGGCTTTGGGCAGCCCTACTCAACAATCCCACCTCAGTTCCCTCCAATGTCATAACCATGATGAGGATAGCACAGGCCAGGTGAGGCACCCTTGATGACTTCACAACAGCAACATCCTCTTGATATCCCTCACTCCCCAGGATGTGGTGAGGAAAAGAGGCTTAAAGACATTAACCACATGCTTAGGGTTACATACCTGGCCAGGGAGAGCCAGACTCAAGCCCAAGGCTCTACCCAGGTCCAGAGAGGCCCTGACCTTGACAGAGCAGACATCTGTTAAACACCTGCTGTATGACAGACCAGATGATTGTTAAGCTTGACAGCCACGACACTGCTACCACCAACTTTAAAGTTCAAGGGGAAGGCAGACTTGGCAGACTATTCCCTGAGTAGGGGCCTGGCAGGGTGTGGATGAGCCAGGCTAAAAGGTTCTGGGCAGCAGTGGACAGGGAGAGAAGCATGTGCAGGAACCTAGGAACAGGAGGACCAGGGGCTGCAGGTGTCTCTGCTCTCAGAACCCAGGTCCTGAGCAGGTTCCTATAAGAGTATGAGTCCCAGGAGGGCCAGGGATTTAGTTCAGTGGCACCACACCTGCCTCTTAAGCACAAGGTCCTGAGTTTGATCCTTGGTATTTAAAAAATCCCAGAAGAACTGGCACTCAAGATCAGGGCTAGGAACAGCAACCCCAGCTCAGTCCTGCCTTGATGGGTACCGTAGTAGGTCCTCCATCACCTCTGAGCTTCCTTTCTTCTCACTCTACCATCAGGAAGGCACAGGGGAAGTAGGAGGAAAGTGCTAGGAAGATGAACTAAGACAGTGTAAGCAAGGCCTCCTAGCCATCCCTGAACAGATCTGACCACTGTGGACTCTATGAGGGAAGGACCCCAAGACTGAGTATCAGATCACTTGGGCCAGGTAGGTGGAGCAAAGCTTGGAGGTCACTGGCTAAGAAGAGGGGATGCCTAGGGACTGAACAAGGGCAAAAGGAATCTTCCAGAGGTGATACAGTTCAGTAGGGATTACCAGCAGAAAAAGCGGATACAAAAGAAAGGCCCAGAGTTTGGTAAGAGCCCATAAGAGAAACCATAGTAGTCAGGATCCTAAGAACAGCTGCTGGGATTGGCAAAAGGAACTTCCAAGAACCTGTCCACCCTCTGAGTGGGTGCACTTGCTATCTCCAGTTCACAGCAGGATCCTGAGGGCCACAGAGGTGAAGGCACTCTTCTTGAGGAAGAGGCTTTAAACCCAGGCCAGGGTCCAGGCTGTGATCCCTTCTCCAAGCTTCTGGTAGGCAGTTCTAGGCCTCTCACCTTCAGGCCTAGTGGGACTTCATGCTACCTTAGCCTACCCACTCCACCCCATGCAGCTGCCTGGCCCTTCCTCATGTAGCACTAGACCTCCCTGTTAGCAGTCTGAACACGTCCAGTGCCCAGGGATGGACTGATTGATCTGTAACACTGAAAAAATAATAATGGCTTGATCGTTACTGAGGATTAAAAGTAATCCTTTGGCTGTGGCTATTGCAACTCTGTTATTCACGAGTCAGCGGGCTGACCCAGTCCTTCAAGCCCATGGGATTCTAAGAGCTCAAGGAAACTGGGGGTTGGGCCTTTTTTCTCTGGGGCTCCCTCACCTTGTCTGCTAAGTCACGGAGCCAGAGGGGCCTATAGCCCCATATTATTGGGCCTGTGAGTCCTAGGTTCAGAGCTGAGCCCTGAAAGGAGCACTCCCGAGCCAAGAGTGGATGTACAAGTGGAGGGAATAGTCCCTCATGGCCACAGCCCAGTCTAGAGACTTCACATCAGTTTAACTCTGTAGCCTCATCTACCCTGTGGCTTTTCTGTGGCAAGAGACCTGATCTAGTTCCCATGCTCTGTCCCAGCTTCAGACAGTCACCTTTCAGAACCATTTATGGGCCTTAGGCCACTGTGAGGTAGCTCTGGGATCCCAGGGAAAGTAGTAGGCCTCTCAGTAAGGAAAGGGGGGACATACTGATCACCCAAGGGTCACATCTCGAGATGTACCCTTGGGACTGCCTCCCTGGGCTTTAAACATCTTCCAACTGTTTAGTTGGCATCCATGACAAGTATTGGTAAATGTGTCTCACAGGCTGATCTCCATGTCTGGCTTCCACACTCCTTGGATGGGCAGCCATTGTACATTATTATACCCTCCACAGAAGGGCATTGCAGCTCATGACTTGGGGGTTTCACTCAACCCTGGTTAGGTTAGGGCCCAGAGGAATATTTATAGTTTAGGCAGAGAGGAAACCTCAGGTCAGGAGGCAGGCACAGGTGGGCCTTTTAGGGCCTCAAGAAAGTGTTACCTTTTCTGTGCAAAGCAGTAGAAGCGCTAACAGGCTTAGGGGCAGATGATAGCTAGATAATCAGATCTCTTCTCTGAGTTGAGACTCAGAGTGTTGCATGGAGAATAGGTGCAGGAGGACAAGAAAGGATGTGGGTTCCTGAGACAACAGAGCCTAGGGGTGAACAGTAAGTGGTTCAGTGATGTCAGGGGTAGGAGGTGAAGCAGAGGTGCCAGGGTGGATGGGCCCATTCCAAGAGGGGGTGGTGCAACTCATTTGCACTGAGCCCTATCCTAGGGACCTCAGCAGGGGCCATGACTAAGGATAAGACTTCTTGGGGACCACATGGAGCAGAGGGTCCCTGAAGCCTCTGGAATGCAAGAGTAGATTATGGAGCAGTGTGAGTCCCACCCAAAAAGGCCCTGCAGTAAAGAGTGGGCAGCAAGCAGAGCCTCCATAGGAGAAGGCAGCAAAGGCTAGGAGAGGCCAGCATTGTGAAGTGAGGAGCTTTGACTCTGAGAGTCGCTTTCTCATTCTGTCCCCAAGTCCCCAGCTACAGCTTTCCCACCATTAGTGCTCTTAGCCTGAGGAAGAGGGGGAGCCAGGCCCAGCAGAAGCAGGGATGGCTCTGGCAGCCCCTCTAACTCCCAGGTCTGACCTCTTATCCAGGAGAGTGATAGCCACAGCTCCACATGGAGTCCAGTCGTCGTTCCACATGTCAAAGAAGGAAAAGCTGGTTTCCCAGGTCCTCATTCCCACTTTCCCATAGTGGGCAGCCGTCATGCTTTATAACACTCTCTACTCAGGTCCACAGACCACATCAGGCTTGGACTGATGGATGGGGACATGGTGGCCTGAATACCAAAGTAACAGAGCCTTCTGAGTAGGGCTGGAGGCCTGGAGGCAAGACCACACTGTATCCATGGAATCGATGGAGCAGGCTTGAGGGACCAGAGCTGCCTCCCTTCCTGGACATCATGGATCTTGGTCATGGCTGATCAAGGCAAAGGCTGTGGTGAGGGCCAGGCCCACGGCCCTAGCCTAGCCAGACTGTGTGACAGTCTTGGAAAGGCCACTGGATGTTCTGTGACTGGGTATGCTAATCTGAGGAAGGGCCATAATGACACCACATGAGCCATGTGTGAACAATAACTGGTGCCATGTGTCTGGCTGGAGGAGGCTTGGCATGCAGTGGGTGGCCAGTGGTACTGGTTATCATTAGGTTTGAGAGGACATCACTGCACTGAGCTCTGCAGAGGCACAAACTCAGTTCCCTCTTCTGGAACCCCAAGACATCCTGAGAGACAGGATCCATGGGTGTGCCAGATTCAGGCCCGGAGGGTGGCTGGGCCTGGGCACCTCCTCTACAAGTCTTCCTGATGTGTCCTCTTCCCACAGCACAGGGCCTTCCACACATCAGTCACTACTACCCCAATTATGTGTCATTTTCTCCCTCCTAATCATATATGAGAGGCATATCTTCACACATCAGCATAGTCTTAACACCAAGCATGCCCAGTGACAGGTGTGGCAGGGTCAGGCATATCACTGTGCTCTCAGAGGCACTCTGTTCACAGGCGTGGGCTTCATTGCCAGAGGGCACTGAAATGAGCACCAAAGGATAGGCCAGGTTTGGGTGGACAGAGAGCTTGGGAGCCCTCTGGGAGTGACTCAGGAACCCTGGAAAGGGATACTGGGCCTGGGTGGATAGAGGTGGGCTCTGGGTACCCCCTGCTGAAAAGAAAAACAGCAAGTCACTATATAACCTGTGAGATCTCACATTGACTGGGGAAGGGGACACTAGATTGTAGGGGTAGAGAATGGCATTTGGGCTTGCCCAGGCCTGAGTGTTACTGCCATCCTCCGGAAAGGAGACATGGCTGAGCTGAAGCCCATAAGGAACCCCTCAGGCTGTTCTGTGCAGCCCACCCATCCTATGGGAAGCCAACTGTGGTCAGGGTGTCCTCTCATAGTAAGCTGGATACTACTGTCAGGGCTGAGGAGTTTTCGGGGTCTGGTAGGGCAAGGAGAAGGGAGGCCTTGAACCAGCCTGACCCCAGAGGGTGGTAAGAATGGAGAAGGAGGGCCTGGGGATTTAGCTCAGTGGTTTCTCCACCTGCCTTGCAAGTGCAAGTTTCTGAGTTTGATCCCCAGTACAAAAAAAAAAAAGAATGGAGAAGGCTTTGGGGTGGCCATTGAGCAAGTAGCCCCCACCTCAGTATCTGACCCCCATGTGTTCTGTCCCTCAGAGACTGGCCGATGCTGCGGAGACCTTTCAGAAAGCCCACCGCTGGCAGGACAACATCAAGGTAAGGACCACAGCACCCTCCCTAGTACCTAGGACATGCTACCCTAGCAGGGACAGAATGAAGAGGGGAGGCACTTCCCAGACCCACTGGAAGGGGCATTGAGTAGATCCATAGGCCTTTGTCCTTTGCTCAGTACAATTCCCAGACTCCCCTTACTGCTGAGACAGTCAGTACATACATCAGCACCAGTGTCACTCCAGAGGAGTTGTGGGTAACCCGTAGGTGGACAGCCTGCTCTAAAATGGCATTTCCAAAGAAGATTCCCAGATTCTTGACAAGCCCCTGGGTCAAAGAAGCCTCTTGACTTCAAGATGACTCATCCAAGATTTTAATCTAGTAACCTGGAAAAGAGGCTGGGAAATGGTGCTGTGTATTCTCCCCTGCCCTGTCCTGAACAGTAGCCTGTCCTACCAAGAGGCCTTCAAGCTGGGCCAGAGGCTAGGATGCTACGGTCAAAAAAGGTTCTTCTTCCATGAAGGCTCTGAAGGGGCTCAGACTTTTTAGAGCAGGGTGCAAGGTGATTGGAGCAGAGGGGGAGACAAGGATACCTCAGGGTACCTCACCAGCCAATTTCTGGCTGAGGCTGGACACTCCTGACCCTTCCTGTTGGGCATTGTCAGGCTGAGGCAAGGCTGTTCCTGGACTTGGGGAGGCCTGGTGCTGAGGATAATGGAACCCTCAGGGACCATATTCCTTGGCAGGGCTCCTTGTGTCCAGGCCATGCCTCCTGGTGGTCTCCTTGCTAATCACAGGGAAGGAGAAAGCTGAGTGGCACTGGAACCAGTAATGAGTGTAGGGGTGCACAATCCCCTGCCTCCCCGCAGTTCTGGACCAGATATCTCTGCCCTAGGAGGCAGGTAGAGTTTTGAGTCTTATTTATCTGATGAGACATGCAGGGTACTTAGGCCTACCAGAGGTTTCTTCTTGGTGGAGGTTTCATAGCTGGATGTCTGGTGCCAGGGGACTCCTACCTATGATCCTTGTCCCCTGCCCTCTCTCTCCATCCTCCCAGGTCACCCTGAGGCTGCCCTACTTTGCCCACACATGGTTTTCTTTCTTAACTGTGCTGGGCGCTGGGTTCACATGGGGTTGGGGACAATAGATGGCTTTTTAAGGTTGCTTTTCTTTTTTCTTTTTTTTTTTTTTTTTGGTACTGGAAACCAAATTTGGGCCCTTGCACTTGCGAGGCAGGTGTTGGCGGGTGGAACCACTAAGCTAAATCCTCACCACTAGATAGCTTTTTAAAATAAGCAAATAAGCCGGGCATGGTGGCACATGCCTGTAACCCCAGCACTTGGGAGGCTGAGGCAGGAGGATCACTGTGAGTTTGAGACCAGCCTGAGCTACATAGCGAGTTCCAGGTCAATCTCACTACATAGTAAGACCCTGTCTCAAAAAACAAAACAAAAAAGATAAGCAAATAAATGAATTAACTACTCCCTAACCCAACCCCCTCCCCAGGAGCCAGAAGACTGACCCGTCTTCCCCTGTCCACTCTGGCACTATCACTCTTCACTGGGCCCTGTGACCTCTGGCTCTCACTTACTGTTCAGACCATGCTACCACCTCCAGATAACCCCTCCCTAGCAGCTCCACATGCGAGGCCTACGCCTGAGCTATGTTCAAAAACCAGTACCTGTCCGTTCCTGCCTCCCTGTCTAGCCTCACTTCCTGATCCCCTTCTCTTGTGTTCCTCCACACTGAACACCACTTCAAGCCCCTTACTGCCCCTGGGCCTTTGCTCAGGCTTGATACCTCTCTCTCCCTCTCTGCCCCCCCTTCCTCCCTCCCTCCTCTTTTCCCCCTTCCTCTCCCTCTCTTCCTCTCCCTTCCTCTCTCCCCCTCTCTCCCCACCACGTCCCTCCCTGAAACACCTCCATTTGTCCTGGAGGCCCAGATCATCCCTTCTCTGTGAAGCTACTCTCTCTCCCAGCCTATCAGCTCCTCCGTCCTCTGGGCATCCAGGACCTTCAGCTCCTGCTCAGTCCCCTCATTTCTTCTTAACTGTTCTCTCACCACCACTGTTCAAGCATCAAAGAGTAAGGGAATGAAAAGACCTGCTCTCTACTTGGCTCTCTCTCTCTACCAGTCCAGGCCCCAAAGAAGGAAATGAAGATATTACCATGGCCCCCAAACCTGTTTTCTCTACCTGGTTTTGAGAAAACGCATTTCCCAGGGCTCTTTTGAAGCCCCTAGCCTCTGAATTACAGCCATTTCCTGAGGCATGAACAGTTTATTGCAGGCCAGGATGGGCAGGAAGGGGCAGAAATGAGGGCTGGGGCTCAGGGACTCCCAGGTCATACCAAGAGGTGCTACTCAAGAGCCTCATTCCTGCACACTGAGTCACAGTCCGCAAGGTTTGTCTCTCCATGTGGCACAGGACAGGGTGGCATTTGTTCTGCCTGTCAGCTTAGATATGACATGTAAAGGGGTCACATGCCAGGCCTATGGTACCTAGATGGTGATGTTCTGGTGCATCTCTGGCTGTACCTGCCCTCGAGCCCTGATACTTCTATCCTGAGATGAGGCAGGAGGGGACTCTAGCTGCCCCATTGTTCCCAGCTTGACCAGAGGTGCTGCAGCCACAGACAGCACTAACACCACAAACAGCACGTGTGCACGTGCACACGCACACACACATTCACACACAGCAGACTGGCCTGACACTCCCCGCCCTCCCCACTACAGTCTATTAGTTTGCCTGACTTTTTGTCCATCCTATTGCCTAAGGTACACAGAGCAGCGACCTGTAGTCACTGCTCCCCACCAACTGCAGGGTTACTGTTGCTCCCGGGAAGCTGTGCTGTGGCCATGTCAGCCAGGCTGCAAGGCATTAGTGCTGATGGGTACCCATTAGCTGCTAGCAGCCAGCACTGCCTAGCTGCCAGGGAGGGAGAGCAGGCAGCAGAGCTGCCAGTGGGGGCTGTCCCTGCCAGAGGGTGCAGGGATGGAGGCTGGGGAAAGGATGCTGTTTTGTCCCTTGCAGGCACACCACTCACCTCTGAAATAATGTCCTTCCCAATGACCTTGAGATGACAGGCCAAGGAGCTATGTTTGTCCCCATTCCCCAGACATGTGACATCTAGCCTGTACCACAATTCTAGCTTTAAGCACAGGCCCTTCCCCAGCCAGGCATTCTCCAGAATGCTCTTACCCTCCTGCAAAAGGCAAAGCCCACGACCCTGTTTATAGTCCCAACCCTAGCATCAGCCTCCACCACCTGCAGTGTCCCCTTTGGTGACTCTATCACAGATAGTGCCCAGTGCAATGACCCAAACAGTGTTTCATCTGTCTGCCCCATTCAAGCTCCTCCAGACCAAGAGTAATCAGGCCTGACCCAGTGCTGTCCACCACCTATCCATGTGCCCAGTCTGGTACCCTGCTGACAGAGTGAACAAGAATGGCCTTTTTATCTATGGTGGGGGAGGTGGCACCCAGCAGTTCTGGACACACAAAGGGCCCTTGGTTCATGGGCCCAGACTAGAATTCATGGCACAATGAATAGGGTACACAGCACACAGCAAGTATGCATTCACACCTCTGAGGCACACAACAATGGTATACACACACACACACACACACACACACACACACACACACACAGCCTCCCAGGCCATATCCTCACACCCTTGGCGTGGTTGAGGCACATAACCTGTAGCCACAGTCTTAGCCACCCAGACTATTGTACACTAGAGTAACCATGGCTTTGATTAGCAGGCAACACCTTCACAGCCCTACAGACAGGCAGCAGGTGCTCTAGTACCTATAATACTTCGGGTAGATGAAGACGAGCCACCGGCTGGACAGTACTCGATGCCAACACTACATCATGCCACCATTGTGTGCCACCTAAACTACCTCCAGGGAAGAGCTGGACTAGGTGTGGGTTGGGGAGAAAGGAGAAGCTATTGGCCCCAAGGCCTCAGTGTCAACACCAAGACCTACAATAGGAGACAAAACCATTCTCTGGGAGTCTAATAGAGAAACAGCCCTGCCCTGTGGAGTTTGAGGAGGGAATCTGAAGCTCTGCTTAGGGGATCTAGAGAGAGGACTGTGAAGGCAGGGCCAGGCAGAAGAGTCGGCTGGCCAGGACAGGTGGCCTCCCTGGCTTAAGGGTTTGACCCAGCCATAGGTCCCACTGCCTGCCTCTCTGCCAGGCCAGTGACAGACGGCTCTCTCAGAAAACACTCCGCTTGGCTGAGCTGAGCTGGCAGTGGGCCAAGCCAGGCAGGCTAAGCTTCTGCACTTGTGCAGCCAAGTGGCTGGCCTGGGCCCTACACAGGGGCTGGTAAGGAGCGGCTGTCATGTCTGGCCAGACTTGGCAGCCACTGTGCAAGCACCAAATCTGGATAACAACTATTACTCCCCTGGTCACCCTAAGCTCCCTTCCTCACCCTTTCCCCAGTGTCTCTTGGGCTTGGCTCCTGCTAAGGAGTTTGGGTCATACACTCAGGTGTATACCCAGCTTGTCATGTGAACAGGTCCATGTTGCAGGTCATGTGTATAGCTGGGATGGGGTAATTCCTCCACTCTTGCCTAGTTTGAGAAAAATAGCCCCTAAAATATCAGGGTGGGGGTTCAGCAGTGTAGACCTCAGGCATTAAGGACACCTGTTTCATCCCATCCTGGGGTCTTTTCCACATTCAGCCACTCCTATAGGCTGTGGAGTTGCATGAGGGTCCACTGTGGGTAGGGTGAGTCCTGCGCTGTCATGAACTTCTCTGCAGTTCCCTGTTCTCTTCATGCCCTCACAGGAGACATCATCATCTTGATTTGTAAGTGGGAAATTGAGACTGGGGTAAGGTCACTAAGGCTGTACAATTAATCAGGCATCCTTTCCTCATTAATGAGATGGGGGTTGTTCCCAGCATTCCTTACGTGGCCAAGCCTGGAGGCTGGGGCCTGTAAGGCACAGCCTCAGTTTTTACTCCCTGCTCAGAGCTCACAGGTATCTGGGTCCGATTTTGAACCCAGGACCCTTTGTCAAGGCCACTGTGCTGATTCATTATATAGTACTACCTTCTTGGTGTGTAACCAGGAAGCAAGACACTGATGTGGACATTTGAGCACTTGCAAGCCAAAGCAGGCACAGAGGCCTCCCCAGAGATCCTCTACGGCAGCCTGATGCCCTGTCCTGCCACACCCCCAACTCATACCTTATTACAAACAGCAATCACAGCTGTGTTTACAAAGTATTTTCTTTCATGACCTTGTCCACCACTGGCTACTGCTCCTCCCTACCAAGGAAAAGGGATGGCCTGACCCTCCTCAAAGCAAGATGGGTGAAATGAGTCCTTCCCACATGCACCAAGCCGAGGGTAGAGGGAGGCATACAGACCCCTGAGCTTTGTCTGTAGGCTGAGAATCCTTTGTAACATTGCTCCCGTGTCCCCGATGCCACCAACACCTGATCTTCCACTGAAACTGTGAAACAGTAGGATAGATAGAGAAATGAAGCCACTGGAGCAGCTGGACAGGGGACCCAAGTGAGTTCCAGAGCATCCCAGGGATGACCCAGGAATGGGCAGGTCTCAGCCAAGTCCAAGAGGGAAACCCAGGGATCCTGAGGGCCTGAGAGTGAACAGCTTCCAGCCATGCCCTTTCCTGTCCTTGCAAAAGCTTTGCCTAAAAAGTTGGTGCATAAAGCACCCAGCTGCAATCTGCAGTCCTCCCACCATGCCTGTCTGTTTTCATTATGAAGGGAAAGAGCATCAGAGCCGTGTTTATAACCCCCCTTTAGATAACAAATCACATTTTCTTTTCCCCTATGAGTGTGTTGAATTGATATTTTTTCCCTTCAGTTTAATGGGTTTGTGTGTTCAGGAATGATCTTCATCAACCGAAACTCCTTATTGTGTTTGATGTAGTGTCAGCTTTCATTATGTGCTTCAGTCAGAACCAGCACAGCGAAAGGCCGAGCACCCCAGAACCTGGGCCCCTATTCCAGCCCCCAGCAGATCCATGGCTGGGTGGCAAGAATGGGTGAGGTTGGAGAGAAGTTAGAAAGACCGATCACAGCCAGGGGACAAAGCCTCCCCTGCCCTTCCCTGCCTTTCCCTGATGTCATCTATGTGTTGGTGTCAGGGGCTATTGTGAGGAAGTGACAGACATAGCAAGTGCTGAAGACTCTGGAAGCTCTTCTCTGGGAGGTTATGGATGTGCCCAAGCATGGGAGCCAGGTGTACACTGTTCCACAATGCTTGGACGAAGGCTACATGTCCACCCAGTAGCCCATACCTCCAAAAACTGGTGGGAGACAGACTAGACTGCTCACCAAAGTATTCCCCAGTACTGGCCCCCTCACGCTACAGTACAGACCCAAGACTTGGGCAGTCACCAACGTCAAGCCCTCCCCTGGAGGTTTGAAGAGCTGAAGGAGTAAGAAGGAAATGGTCCTGCCCTAGGGTCACACAGTCAGTGAGCCCCAGCGAGGCCTTGGGCAGGGGTTGGCCAAGGTGACTTCCACCCCTGTGGAGTAAGTGCTGGCTCCATGCCTTGCTGCCTAATAGCAGGGAGCTGCCTTGGTTGCCACTCCCATTTGCAGGCCACAAAGAAATAGTCCCAGCTGGCCTTGGTGTCACATGCCTACAATTCTAGCACTCTGGGAGGCTGAAGCAAGAGAATCTAAACTTTGACCCCAGCCTGGGCTACTTAACCACTTAGCAAGACCCTGTCTCAAAATTGTAACAACAACAAAAAAAAGATATAGCCCAAATTTATTCTTCCATTGGAAAACTTAATTACATGTAACTCCTGAGCAAAGTCAACTCTGTATTAAATTTATTATATTATTAAAAAACTTATTCCATATGATTAGTTTTCCACGTCAAAAAAATTATTTAAAAAAATTAAAAGGCTGAGGATGTAGCTCAGTGTGAAATTCCAGGGTATAAGCCTAAATACAGCCAGGTATGGTGGCACATGCCTATAATCCCAGCACTCAGGAGGCTGAGCCAGGAGAATTGCTGCATGTTTGAGGCCACTTTGGTCTAAATAATTTCAAGACCAGCCTTAATTAGTGAGACCCTGTCAAAAAAAAAAAAAAAAACAAAGTAAAGTACTAGAAAAGAATGAGGGGGTCTGCCCTGAGTGAGGGCCACCAATGCAGGATTTTGCTGTACAAAACAAAGCTGAAGTGCACCTAGGGAGGGTTACTTGGACAGTAGCCCTGGCCCTTGAGCCCACCAAGGCAGGGTTGGGTGACCCCTCCTGAGCAGGTGGCACTTGCTGACACCAGGTTCACCTTCTGGCGGCCTCTGTCAGCCATGCTCAGTTCTGATTAAAGATCATTAGACATGAAATTAGCCCGTTTGTGTTATGGGTCCCCAGGGCAGCCAGTGATTATGACGCACAGATGGCTAGGAACCCAGGCAGCAGGCACAGGCCACGGGGACTGGCGGGCACAGGCAGGCAGGGCCTGGAGGCAGACATGCAGGCCGGGCTTTGTTTTCTCCTGCTCCTGTTGTGTAAACCCTTTGCATTTCACAACAAATCACAGATAATTAATAAGTACATGCCTGTAATGAGCAGGCTTTTTAATAGAAGAAATTGGAAGATGCGGCGTCGAGTCATTATTTCACTCTTGCCCAAGCTTGGCTCTGTTTTTCCATCTCCCTCACTCCCCATCCTGCCTCAGCAGCATCTCTGCAGTCAGGTTGGCCTCTACCCTTCCTCTCAGCAAGGCTGCCGTATAGGGCCCCTCCTCTCAAGACTGGTCTGGCCAGGATTAGGGTGGGGAACCACCACCACCTACTCATCCAGCCCTTCCAGGAAAACAGCTCTAAATGGGGAAAGGGGACAATCTCAGTCTCAGAGAACTCTGAGGGGCCTGTCCCAAGCCTTGGGGGTCCTGGCTATGTCTCAGGAGCCCTTGAGCTGTGGTTGCTAAGGCCTTTCTCCCTTCACCAGGAGGAAGACATCATGTACTATGATGCTAAGGCTGATGCTGAACTGGTAAGTGCCCCTACCTAAGGTACCAGAGCTATATCCCCTCTTCTGGGCCTCAGTAGTCTCAGCTATAAAATGGATGTCAAGACTGGGCACTCAGCATTCTAAGATGAACCCTACAGAGTTGTGTGACACAGGCCCTCTCCCCACCTCTTACAACTCCCTAGACATCCCAGCACCTCCAGGGCTGTGTCTCTGTGGCCTCATATAAGCTGGGTTTCACAGTACTGTGTGGCAGATGAGGTTGACAAGGCACTTGAGCCTCCCCACACAGGACACTTCAAGCCCCAGTATGGAGAGGGGCTGAGTGCCATGAGAGTAGGGAGAACAGGGGCAGTGGAGAGATGAACAGGTTGGGTAGCATGCACACATCCAGGTGTCTCTCCAAACCAGAGAAGGCTCCCTTCCCTATGATGAAGTGAGTGCAGCATTGGTATGTTAAGCACCCCACTGCCTAGTCCTATGGTCAGTGCTTGTCCCTGAGCTCAGTCATATTGCCCCAGCTAAAGAGGCAGCCTGGTTCCTGCACTCATTCTTTAGATGAGGCTCAGCTCGAATGGGATCACCTCCCTTGGAAGTGGTGGGCTGAGCCACACTGCTTTCCTGCTTTGGTGTCCCTCACTCCATGTCTTCATGGCTCAGGTCTACTTGGGCTTCCACTGAGGTATTGAGGTCTCTATCACCAAAGGACTCAGTGAAAGATATATGACCGTGAGGAGAAGGTAGCTACAGAAAAGACAAGAGGGTCTGAGGGTGCTGGCACTTGGAGTAGACAAATTTGGTGGACTTGTAAAGGCCCAACTACCTCTGCCTGACTTCAAGGCAAAGTAGTGGGACCCAGCTGTCCCCTATTTAAACAGTGGCATCACAGTTATACAGTCTCTGGGGACTCACCTATGCTGGCTTTTGCAAAAAACCTGAGATCCAGTCTTCCTCTTCCAGGCCTATATGCTTGGGGGCTGTCCTGGGTGGATGTGAAGGTGTCTTACAACACAAACAGGGGGAAGGCCAGCAAGGATCCCTAAGCAGGGTCACAGATTCCAAGTCGCCAGGAGAGCCATCAGGAGGGCAGGGGCCGAGAAGGAGGGTGGGCTTAAGCAGGTGTGCATCCCCTTGGCTGAGCTCTGTGGCTCCCGGAGAAGTTGCTAAAATTAAAGCTGGAATCTGAAATTCAAATGAAGAGCGAACCTTTAATTAGACCCTGAATGTAATTCCTTACCCCCCTCGGCAGCGGGCTGTAATTTTAGCAATCAGTGCATTAAATATAAACCAGGAGACATCAGTGGCCCAACGAACAAAGCCTCTGGCCTTGGGGGTGACCCTGGTAGGCCACCCCCAAACAGGACACTCTTTACTCCCTGCTCCCCACAGCCCCCAAATCTATCCAGGACTCTGGCCCATGACTCTAAACCACTGTCTGCCTGCCCCAACCCCTTGGCCATCTGCTGGGAGCTAGGACCCACCCAATCCAAGAGACTCACCAGGGCAGGGGTGGGCTGTGACAGTTAGAGCCTGGCAAAATAACAGCATGTACACATTTGCTGACTCCCCTGCTTGTTGTGTTGTTTTGTTTTTTTAATCTTTGCCAGAGGTACAGTTAGAGATCTTTCTAGACCATTTACTTTTAAATTACCAGCCAGAAGGTGGGGGTGGGGAAAAGAGAAGAAAGGAAAAAGTTTGCCAGCTGATAGCTTATCAAAACAGAATCCAAATGTCACATTAGTTGGGAAAGTTGAGATTAAATTTTCCAGCGCCCTTCATCTGCTGCTGACATTTTGGGGGCTTTCTTCTCCTGCGTCTCCCCGTTCCCTGAGTGGAACATGAGTGCTTCATGCTTCACAGACCTCTGGCCCCCTGCTCTGGCCTGGGTGTTCAGCAGCTGCCTGCTCTAGCTTTACCCCCACCAGGGGCTTCTGAGTGTCCCCTCTGGGTAGGCAAAGGGTGACATACTGGACAGGGGGAATGAGAGAACTGTGGAACAGCCAGAATTTTGCTGTGTAAAATCTATCTGAAGGGACTGAAGATGTAGCTCAGTGGTAGAGCGTTTGCCTACCACATGCAAAGAGGGCCTGAGTTCGATCCCTACCACCATGAAAATAAAATAAAACCCACCCTGAAAAGATGAAAAGGGTGCTTCAGCATAGTGTCTCCACATCTGATTGTGTGGAGAGGCACAGTTACCCTCTCTTCAGATCAGACACAGCCTGGGCAGACATGAGGGAGAACTTAAGAGACGAGGCATTCCGAGGACACCGTGAGCATGGAGCAGGGGAGGGTGAAGAAAGGATCCAAGCCTGAGGAAAGGCTGACCACAGAGGGCCATGGTGTGGAAGGTTTCACTATATAGGCTCTTTCGTCCCAGGGCACAAAGCTCCCAGCTCTGCTCCCTTCCCTGCCTCAGCAGCCATCTCTCCCTTGCTTCCCTGCTTGGCTTTTCTCTCTCTTTGCTTTCACTCTCTACCTCCACCCTCCCTTTACGCACCTGCAGCCAAGCCTTCCCACCCTGAGCTTCAGCATCAACACTAGTCACAGACCCACTCCTGCCAGCCTGTGGTGGTGGGCGGGGGCACACGGCGCATGCCTAGCCTGCCTGGCTACAAGATGCCATAATTGGCACCTGTCAGGCGGCTGTGGCTCTTTTTAGAAAAGCAACAGGGGCCCTTATAGTCCTGCTGGTAGCAGGCATGGCAGACCCTCCTTCTAGAGTCACCAGGTCTCAATGGTTTCCCCTACCCCAGCTCAGCTCTCCCTGGATTCAGCCTCCCCGGCTCAGCACCTAGAGCTACTCTGTTGCCGGGAGTGTTGTCCCTGCCCCAGGTGGAGTAGGACTCTTTCCCTAGTGCCAAAGGGACTCCATGCAGAAGAAGGGCAGGACCCAGTGGGGAGCACAGGGACACAGAGCTCCTGGGAGGGGCTACAGAGGTCTCCCTGTGATTGCACAAGTCACATCTTAGTAAGCCAAAGTCTACAGCCTGTTCCTCTGACTTGCTTCATTATTTGCCTCCTTCACTGATAACTGGTTTTCAAGGATGTGGGGAAGGGATCAGTTTGGTTTTGACTTTAGAATTTGGGTTTGACCAGTGATGGAAGGTGGGGTGAAGAGTCCATCCCCTATGTCCATCTGCCCCTGTATCTCACCGTCTATCTCTCCTTATCTTTGCAAGTCTCTGTCCTTGAGGTGCTCCTGTTTCCTGGACTCTGGTCCTCCCTGCCTCTGCCTGCAGGCCTGTCCAACCCACTCACCATCTTCCAGCCCTGACACTGCTGGCGGGGTGGGGGGTTTTCTGCAGGACGACCCTGAGAGTGAGGATGTGGAGAGAGGGTCCAAGAGCAGCACCTTAAGGCTGGACTTCATCGAGGACCCAAACTTCAAGAACAAGGTCAACTATTCATACACGGCTGTGCAGATCCCCACAGACATCTACAAAGGCTGTGAGTGTGTCACGAAATTGGGCCAGTCATTCTCACCTGTCCTGGGGGCAAGGCCCTCTGTCCAGACATTCTCAGTCCTATCTACCTGCAGTCCCCACACCTGAGGTCACACATGCTCACCTCTCAGACTCACCCACGTGCAGGCATCCAGTCACTCACAGGCACAGCTTCCTGCAAACTCTCTGCAGACTGCAAAACACTAAGCCTCCTTAGTGATTGCATGCACAGTTTCCAGCCCACATGAGCACAAAGGCTCACGAGTGCACCCACACACACACACCTTCCCCACATGCAGGGCTGAGTCTCCCAAAGCAGCTCCTCACCATGCTCCCCTATTCCCTGGCCCCATTAGGAGTAGCTGAGAAGCTACCTGAGGTAGATACAGGAACTAGAGGAAAGGAAACCACTCCTCACTTATAAACAAAGACATGGGGCAATAGCTCCAAGCAGCTAGGGGGAGGGAATACAGGGAAAAGGATTGAGAAGAGAGTGGTTGAGATTCCAAGCCCCATCACAGGCAGCTTTGCACAATGGAGAAACCATGTTGCTACAGCTGGAAGGATTTGAATCAGACATGAAGAGGAACTTCGCGAGTATCTTGGAAGGTACAGTGAGAAGAGGCCAGGAGTCAAACATGATGAGGAGCTCAAACAGCAGGATTCATGGCACTTGGACCTATTGGTTCTGACACAGTCCTCTTGGCACCTACAGGGTAGCCTCTGAATTCCAGGGGCCCACTGATCTGGGAATCTTAGGGCAAAAGTATTGCTTTTGCTTGAGAGTGTAGGGAACCCTCCAGGGTCCCACTCCACTCTCAGGGTCAAACAGGCCTTCTAGGCAGCATCAGGGGGCATAGGGAAGGATGCCCCTCCCTGCCCCCAATAGGCTGCCCTCAGGTCACCTGCCGGGAGCCAGCCAAGGGGCACTATCACAGGCAGGCACGCTAATTAAAACAGGAGCCACACCGCCCTCCCCAGTCACCCCTCACTACCCACACAAATTACATTTTATATGTTTTTTATTTACTGTGTCACTTTTAATTAAATCTGTAATCGCCTGCCTGAGGGGGCATGGTCCCCGCTTCCCAACTCAGCATGATCTGAGGTTGTGTGTACTTGGGTGTGGGTGTGTGCATGGGGCAGGGTGGCAGGCTCTTTTGATGGAGCAGATGTTTCCACGTGTGTGTGTGCAGTAACAGATACCTGCAGAGACATCCCACCCAGAGCAGAGGTCTTCCTGTGGCTCTTGACCTGAGCCAGGGACATCCTATCCAAAGCCTTACACAGGGGAAGACCAAGGCCAGTGATGTGTGGACGTGCCAGCAGGCTCAGGACAGACAGCACTGCATGAAACACTGGAGGGCCTGACTATTTTTTCTTAAAGAGAAAAATAGATATTGTTCAAATCACTAAGTTTCTAAATCAAGAACAGGACCATAATGTAGTGTTCAATAGTCAGAGTCAGTGCTAGAAATGTGTTCTTTTTTCACATTATGGCCAGTGCAGAAAGCCACAGGGACAGAGACAGGGACAAGAGCAGAGGGGAACAAGTTAGGGTACAGGACACAGTAGGTCCCTCACTTCAGGGAGAGCAAAGGGGAGGGTGGGTTCAGGCCCCCCGCACCTCAGTGGAGCCCTGAGCAATTGTAAATGACAACCGCATCTGTTCTGAAAAGAGCAGAGCCATTGCCAGTCCCCCTCTGGTTCTCACTTGATGGGCAGGATTCCAGTGGGGGTGATCAATCTTGGCAGCTCCACAAGGGAAGAAACGAGGGAGGAAGTAGGGGCCCCTAGGGAGGGATGAGCCTGACAGAAGCAGGTGTCCCACTCCTGATTTTTCTGATGAGACACTGTACACATGTAATATGTGGCCCATACACACAGGGCACATTTAGGACTGCCCATTTGAAGGGCCAGCAGGATGGAGACCAGTCATCTGAGTAGAACCTTGCCCTGAGAGGGGAGGAGTAGGCCTGGCCAGGAGATCATACCTGTATCACCACAGGGGTTGGAGGACAGAGGTGGGGTAACAGATGATGGGGATTGTGAGAGCAGGCCCCACTGGTGACTTTGTAGATGCAGAAGGACATGTGGGTGTGAGCCCCTTTGCCCATGAAGCAGTCAGGTTGCCAGGAGATAGGTTTAAGAGTGAGGGGGTCACACATCTGGCTGGAAACAGAGGTCAGATGCAAGTATACCTCCTGGGAGTAGAGGCTGCTCATGTGCATCTGTGTGCAAGTGCACATGCCTGTGTCATAGCAGCAGCCCAGCTCCGCCTCTGCCCCTCCAGCGGCCCCCACCTCTGCCCCTGCCTGCTCCTAGCCCCAGCTGATTAATCATGGAGCTGAGTGGCTTCCAGCTTATCAGGTACCTTAATAGCTGAATCATTCCAGCCCCATCAGCGGGCCCTTAATTGCTTTCTTGTGGCTGCGGCCTGGAGTGCATGCTGAGTGGGTGAGTTCCCCTGGGATCAGCCTTAAGCGTCAGGCAGTTGGATGGGGCGCCCCGCTCATACTTCCTGACACCTGGGCAGCCCCTCTCCAGTGGCCACTGGCCACGGCTTCCCTTGCCTGATCATGTGGGGCCCAGCCAAGGGGTAGGCTGAACTGTTCTTTCAATAGCTTGAAAGAGTGAGGACCAGGAATCTTCCTGGGGGAGCTGGTGCAAGCCCAGGTAGGCCCTAAGAAATAAGGGTAAGTCTGGATAGAGCAGGTGGGCCTTCTGAGTGAGGGCTTGGACATGAATATCATGGTGATAGGTGAGGCAGTAGACAGCCCAGGCCATCCCAGCCAAGCCTCCTTCCTCCCCCAACCCCAGCCACTGTCATCCTCAATGAGCTCAACTGGACAGAAGCCCTGGAGAATGTATTCATCGAGAACCGCAGGCAGGACCCCACACTGCTGTGGCAGGTCTTCGGCAGTGCCACTGGAGTCACCCGCTACTATCCAGGCAGGTGCCAGGCCGTCTTCCCTGTCCATCCACTATCCCACCTTGCTTCATTCCCCAGCCACCCGTCGTGGGGTGCCCTGGGAGGGGTGGCTGTTCCTGAAAGGGCTGTCTGCCTGAGTCAGGCCCTCCTCTGCCAGTCCTGTCACCCTTTCTCCTCCCACAGCCACCCCCTGGCGAGCCCCAAAGAAGATTGACCTGTATGATGTCCGACGAAGACCCTGGTGAGCGAGCAGAGAGGGGCTAGGCAGGGACACCTCCTCAGCTTCCTACTTGTGCCTCTCCCCTCCTTCCCAATATCCAGGCCTCCGAGCAGGGCGCAGCCAGCTCTATCCAATTTTCATTTCACACATCGTTGCCACTGGAAAATGGATCCCATCACCCAGGCAGCCCTCCCAGCTGCTGCTGCCCCTTTCCATCACCCAGTACCCCCACCTCTTGGAACTAAGAGAGCAGACCAGAGGGAGTGTTCCCAAAGTGAATGTAGCCCCACCCACTGGACCCCTAGAGACTCCCACCCTCTACTCTGCCTCTCCTGCAGTACCCCAGGACTTTCTTTCCCTGCTCCATCCCATACTGTGCCCTCCACCTGGGGCAGAGGATACAGCAAGCCCTTCGGTCAGAGGACCACCTGCTCAGCCACCCCTTGGGGTTGTTTACTTGCTGAGGGAGCAGATCGCTTATGTGGAGGGCTGGGACTGCCTGTTTTATTAAGCATGGTCTCCGCGGTGCCTGAACCCTGTGTGGCCCATGCAGTGGATGCTCAATAGAAATATGTGAATCACTCTGAGTAATGCAAGGGGAGGTCCTAGTGGGCTGGGACCCATGAGCTTCTCCTGGGCAGGTATATCCAGGGGGCCTCATCGCCTAAGGACATGGTCATCATCGTGGATGTGTAAGTGAGCAATGCTGGCAGGTGGGGCTGGGACAGGGCTGGGGCCATACTCTGCTGCCTTAGAGCCTCTTGGGGGAAGAGCAAGAGGACACCTACAGCCCTCAGTGGCCCCTACCTGACCTCTCCAGGAGTGGCAGTGTGAGTGGCCTGACACTGAAGCTGATGAAGACATCTGTCTGCGAGATGCTGGACACACTCTCTGATGATGACTATGTGAACGTGGCCTCGGTGAGTGCTAGGCTGAAGGCAGGTGGGGCTCTAGTCACCCCCACTTGCCCTGCTGCTATGACCACCACCAGCCCTGTGCACCACCTGTCTACTCTGGCCAGCCTGAGGCCACTCATCACTTCACTGTCCCTGCAGTTCAATGAGAAGGCGCAGCCTGTATCTTGCTTCACACACCTGGTGCAGGCCAATGTGCGTAACAAGAAGGTGTTCAAGGAAGCTGTGCAGGGCATGGTGGCCAAGGGCACCACAGGCTACAAGGCTGGCTTTGAATATGCCTTTGACCAGCTGCAGAACGTGAGCCCCATGGGTGGACAAATGGGTGGACAGGGGTGGGCAAGGGCCAGGCCGGGTGACACAGGGAAGTCAAGACCAATGGCCTTGTTAGCACCAAACAGGCAGCATGGACACATAGCACCATCCACTGGGCGGGGGGCGGGTACAAGAGGGCCAGGCCTGCCAGGGAAAGGAAGCATTGCCCCCAGGTGGTAGAGACAGAGCCATCTGATTCCACACTCCTGCACAGTCCAACATCACTCGGGCCAACTGCAATAAAATGATCATGATGTTCACGGATGGTGGTGAGGACCGTGTGCAGGATGTCTTCGAGAAGTACAACTGGCCCAATAGGACGGTGAGGCTGAGCTCCAGTGGGGGTTGCCCTGATCCAGGTCTAGGACCTGGGAGAGCTGTCCTCAAGTGGCTATAGCAGTAACCTCAACCCCCCACAGGTACGTGTGTTCACCTTCTCTGTTGGGCAGCATAACTACGACGTCACTCCCCTGCAGTGGATGGCCTGCACCAACAAAGGTACCTCTTCTGATGTTAGTGCCAGGGGTGCCAGGTCCTGCTGCCTGCTGTCCATCCAGATGGCCAGCTGTCTGTTTGTCTACAGTCTATCTTTCCATATGTGTAGATGTCCATGGGCTATCTGACTGAGCATCTTTTGCCCATCTAACTGTCCACTGTCCATCTGTCTCCCAGGTTATCTGCTTCTGCGTGTTTGTCAGTCAATCCCACTCCCTACACTTGGGCCTGGGTGGGTGGACTCTAAATGTTGATACTATCTAGAATGAGATGGTATCATCTTCCTCAGCCTTCCCCCACCCATCTTTGCCCCCAACTCCTAGTCCTCTTCCATAGCATTAGCTCCAGCAACAAGACAGTGGCAGGTAGCACACCACAGGTATATGAGTTTGGGGAAAGGGACACCAAATAGAGGAAGCCTAAGAAGTAAATCAGGACTGCATAACTACCCCACAGGGCAGGACCCCTGTGTTGTGAGTCCCCTCAGTGCCAGCAAAGCCCATCTCTGCCTCCCCTCCTTTCCCAGGTTACTATTTTGAGATTCCTTCCATCGGAGCCATCCGCATCAACACACAGGTGAGGTTGTGGGCAGCCTGTGTCTCCCAGCCCTTCACTCTCTGCTGTCCGTTGGGTCCGGTGCCTCTGAGCTGTTGTGGGCTTAGTGCCCTCTGGTGGCAGCTGTGGCATAATCCCAAAGCACAAAGCGGAAGAGAGTTAGGAAGGCACTAACAACCCCTGCTGTCCCCTGCCCAGGAGTATCTAGATGTGTTGGGCAGGCCCATGGTGCTGGCAGGCAAGGAGGCCAAGCAGGTGCAGTGGACCAACGTGTATGAGGATGCACTGGTAAGTCCTCTGCGCGAAGAAGGGGGGCTGGTCACCTTCCCCCACAGACGTGCCCCCAAGGTCAAGACCCTCGGATACCCACCTGGGGTTAACCAAGCAGAGGAGAAAGAAACATAACCTACACTTGAACTCCTATTCTGAGTACTCAGGGTGAGGCTGGAACTGGCCATAGGAGAACCCATCTCCTTTTCCTTCAGGGGCTGGGGATGGTGGTAACAGGGACCCTGCCTGTTTTCAATCTGACGCAAGATGGCCCTGGAGAAAAGAAGGTGAGGTCCCCACTGGTAGAGGGTTGGGCATGCCTGAGAAGGATTGGGTACTCCCATAGGAGGTCTGGGGATGGAGGAGGGATGGGGCCTATGAGAGGAACTTGAGGCCTTGAGTATTGGGCCTGGGCATGGGACCTCCTTCATGGAACTGAGCCCATTACAGACCCCACCATGTATCTTCTCCCAGAACCAGCTGATCCTGGGTGTGATGGGCATCGATGTGGCTCTGAATGACATCAAGAAGCTGACTCCCAACTACACGGTGTGTGTTAACCTGCCTATCTTACCTGCTCTGCATCCTATGTGGATACAAACCACACTGGTAGTGTTCACAGCACCTCCATGCAGACCTCTGAGTTGAAGGAATCAGGGAAGGCTTCCCAAGGAGGTGACCTTGGCCCTAAAGCTGGTGTGGCAAACTTTCTCTAAAGGGCCAAGCTGTGAACATTTTAGGCTTTGCCAGCCTAATGTACATTTTATACTTGCTTTTGTGTTGTAAAAGCAGCCACTGACAAAACATAAAAACACAGGCATAACTGTGTTCCATATAGTTTTATTTCTGAATACTGTTATTTGAATTTCATATCATTTTCACATGTCATGAAATAGAATTCTTCTTTTATCTTTTTTCTTTTAAACTCCTTAAAAACAAAGTCATTCTTAGATCTGGATGAGGTGGTACATACTTGTAATCCCAGCTATTCAAAAGGCTAAGGCAGTATAACGGCAAGTTTAAAGCCAGTCTGGCTAACTTAGTGAAATCCTGTCTCAAAATAAAAAAGGGCAGAACACTTGACTAGCACGTGTCAAAGCCCTGGCTTCAATCCTCAATACCACAAGGGAAAAAAATGTCTTAGCTCACAGCTATATAATTTGGCCTGTCTGCCTAGGCTGGAGTGTTCTAGACACAAAGGAGAGAAAGTATACCTTGGAGATAGGACTTGTTTGGCAAAGACCTGAAGATGGAAAACAGAATCATGAGCCAAGGAAGGGCTGGGGTAGCGGTATGGTGGCCCAGAGCCTGTGGTTAAGGAGCTTGGGTCTTGGCTGTGGGAAAATACGGCATGTGACAGCACCCTTAGGCCTGAGCTGTATTAAACCCCTGCTTGGCCCTGAGAGGGCAGTGCCTATGGCTGGGACTCCATATATAGTGAGAAAACTGCCTCAGGCCCAAGGTCCCACTCATTCCTGCTTCGCTTCCACCTGGAAAAGTCTCCTCTCACTGTGCTGTCTCCTGAGTTAGGGACAAGGAGGAAGCATGAATCAGAGCAGCAGTAAGGGAGGGCAGCAGCAGTATCAGCAGTCCTTATAGCCTCATGGAAGTGTGGGCCTCATGGAGGTGGAGAGGTAGGGCTGGCTGATAGTTCCATGGAAACTTCAGGATGGCAGAATGCCTTAGCAAGGGCTGGTTCTTGAGGGGCATCCGTCTTGCCAGCCTGAGCTAGGTAAACAGCCCCCTCAGCAGGGTGGAAGGCAGAATGGGCAAGACGTCCCAGAGCCCAGGGAATTCTTGCCCAGATCCTGAGCTCCCAATGTGTACCCCCAGCTTGGAGCCAACGGCTACATATTTGCCATTGATCTGAATGGTTACGTGTTGCTGCACCCCAATCTCAAGCCCCAGGTGAGCCAGATGGGTGACCTGGAGGGTGGGTAAACTCTCTAAGGTGGGAACCTAACTTCCTACACTGCCTCCTCCAGACCACCAATTTCCGGGAGCCTGTAACTCTAGATTTCCTGGATGCAGAGCTGGAGGATGAGAACAAGGAGGAGGTAAGGAAAATGCTGGAAAGAGCTGGGGATGCAGGCACAGAGAGCAGAGGAGGTCACAACTCTGCCCTTCCAGATCCGGCGGAGCATGATTGATGGCAACAAGGGTCACAAGCAGATCAGAACATTGGTCAAATCCTTGGACGAGGTAAGAAGGCAGGGGAGGGAGACATGGAGTCAGAGCGGGCAACCTCCTACCCCAGCCACCCAGGCCTGCTAGCCCAACACCTGACGCAGCCTCCTCTCACAGAGGTACATAGATGAGGTGATTCGGAACTACACCTGGGTGCCTATAAGGAGCACAAACTACAGGTGAGTGGGCAAGGGATGGGCAAGCAGAGAGAGGTGGGGTGGCCCCAGAATCTGAGCCCAGCTGCCCCTCCTCCCACCTCAGCCTGTTATGACTATCACCCTATGGGGCATCAGCAGCCAGGCTCCTCACTGCTTACCCTGGGACACAGGATCCTCCAAACATCAGTTCATGGGAGGACAGGAAAGTGCATCGGATGTCTCCTCAACCCTCTGCCTCTCGTCAATCCCACTGTCTGCTTTCCACCAGCATCACAGCTTCAAAGCGGGTCCCCTATAGGTCAGGCACAGCCAACACAGGTGGTCTCTGATGCCCCACATGACTGATCCATTCTGAAATGCCAGGGGCATGGGCACACACTAAGACCAATGTGTGTGTGCCTCTTGCCACAACCACGGGCCCTACTCTTAGCTGGCTCTCACAGGGACTGCAGCTCGTTCACCAGCAGCACCCACACTGCAGCTCACTCACTGACAATGTGCTTCCCTTGAGAGCTTGCAGTGGGACTGGTGGGGAGCTGAGGGAGGTGGATGGGGTGGATGGTGGGTTGGAGACTTGCTTTGAGGCCTCCAAGAGAGTTGAGAGAGTAGACAGTTTGGCCTCTGATGTTTCCAAGGTACTGACACCCAGGCCATGAACTTCTCACAGCGAGGCAGGGGAGGAAGGCTGCCACAGTCTGGCCTTGATGCCCAGCTCCATGGCCATGGGGAAGGGGTGCCAGTGCAGCCCACCAATCCCCAGCAGTGACCAATACTCCCTTTCTCCTCCTTCACAGCCTGGGGCTGGTGCTCCCACCCTATAGCACCTTCTACCTCCAAGCTAACCTCAGCGACCAGATTCTGCAGGTCAAGTGTAAGTGGCCCGGCCCCTGCCTGCACCCTGCACCTTGCCTCTGCCCCTGCACCCTGGCCGGCCCCCGGCAGCAGAGCCTGCTGCGCAGCCCCCACCCCATCTGCCCAGCCCCAGGTGCCCACAGGCTGGAACTCCAGCCTTTGAAAGTCTGTGGAAATCTGCATGCTCACCTTTTCTCAGATTTGGTTCCAGACCATTCTTTCATGGTTTCTGTTGAGGTTTCTGTTTTTGGTTTCTCCTACTCCGTGTCTTCCTTCTTAATCTGCCTGCCCTGAACACCTCTGAGGGCTGCACTCTTGAAAGACACCCCCTCCTCTCACCTGCTCCCTGCTCAGCTCTTCCCCCACTGCAGTGCCCCCTCCAGGGCGGCTCTCCCTCTCCTCTCCTCTGCTTCACACTGGAGGCCTTTGCCTCCTCTTTCTGCCCTTCCTGCTCCTCTCCCTTTCTGACCTCCCTATATCTCAACACACTCTTCCCTTTCTCCTCCTCCACCATTCTTTCTTCCTCTATCTTCTCTCCCTCCTCCTGCTCCTCCACCTCCTGTCTTCCTCTCTTCCCCTTACCTCTCCCTTCCCTTCTCTTTCTCCATCTCTCTCTCCCTCTCCTCTTTCCCTCCCCAGCACCCCTACCTTCCTATACTCCCTTCAGTCCCAGCCCTCCTTTCAACTTTCCCCTTCACTCCCATTCCGCTCCCTTCTCCCTCCTTCCCTTCTACTCCTCTCTCCAACATGCATCCCATCCTCTCCCTGTCTTCTTCTCCCCCTCTTGCCCCCCTCCTTCCTTCCTATCTCCCATTCCTTTGCCTGTGCCTCACCCTGCATGCCCTGCTCTTGGAGAGAGGACTGGGTCTAGGGCCTGGCCCAGCCTGCCCACCCACCACCCACCCGAGGTCACTGGGAGGGAGGCTGGGGCTCCGGCCCCACCGGGCGCCCCCCACCTGCCTGGCCAACTGGGGCTCATCTCCTTTGAGTTTTCTTGCTCTCTCTTTTCTCTCTCATGTCGTTTTTTTGCAAGAAGTTTCCTTTCAGTATGATGATGAGACACAATATTTTCATTCAAACAGCCATTGAATAAAATATTGTTTGTGCCCCTCCCCTTCCCCTCCCCCTTTTCGTTTGTTTTTGTGTTTGTGTTTTTGTTTTCCTCGCTTTCTCTCTTGGTGGACTGTCCCAGTGCCAATCAGCAAACTGAAGGGCAAGTATATTCAGAACCAGTGCACCCTCCTCTCCCCTCCCCACCTGCCCTCACACCCCTGCTTGCCCCCCTCCCTGCCCAGGACCAGCCACACCCCTGCCCACCAGGGCTCCCCTCCTGGCATCCCTTGGCTCCTCAGTTCTTGCCTCTCCTCCCATTCCTAATCCACTTTAGAGCCAGTGGCCCTTTCCCTGGGCTTGCCTGCAGGGTGTTCTCTGAAGTGTCTGAGGATTCAAGCCCCTTCCTTATATTCCTTGCTCCCTGCGGGAAGGCCTCTGCCTCCCCCTCCCCATCCCCCACTTCACCTTCTCTGTCCCTCCAAGACAACTCGATGTGGGGGCAGGGCTGGGTGCCTTCCTACCCACTTCTACCCAGCAAGGCAAGGGCTCAAGGTGCAGGGGTAGGAGGTAGATAGGCCCCCAGAGGGGCCTCTTCAAGGCTCCCTCTGGCACAGCTCACCCTCCTCTGATCTCTGACAGTGGCTCCAGAAGCTGGCAGCCCTCCAAGAAGGGAAACAGAAAGGATCAGAAGCCCTCTAAGAAGGGAGACAGAAAGAATAAGAAGATCAGAGGCACATGGGGCAGGCAGCAGGCTGCATCCTCATCCTAGGCACTGGGATGAGCAAGGCTGACCCCTCATCCTAGGCACTGGCCTAGGTGCTAAAGCTCCTGTGTTCTGATGCTCCTACTGCCCCAGAAGGCTTTGCTGAGGCCTCTTGGCCCAGCCCCACGTGTGTAGTCCCTGTCCCTGGGGAGGATTGGCAGGTATGGAAAAGGTGTTCCCCTTGAGAGGTAAAGGCACAGAATGGGATCTCTCTGGACTCCAAGGGACAGCAAAGGAGCTTGGGGGAAACCAAGCTAGGTGTGAAGAAAAGGATTCTGGCTCTCTGAGGTACCCAAGCCAGAGAACTTCCAGAAAGGTAAGCAGTAACCCCCAGGCACACAACAAAGAGGGCAAGAAGAGATAGAACACAAAGGTCTCTGCCACTAGTGCAGAAAGGGCCACCCTCTCAGAAAGCTTGGGCAGATCAGGCATGCAGAGTCACAGAGATGTCCTCCAGACCTAGAGGTAGGGCTCCACAAGCTATACTAGGGGACCTGTCAGGCCTAGTCCAGCAAGAGGAATATAACCACTCTCACTGGCCTGGGTGGAGGTGGAGGATGTGCCCTACTCCCACTGGCTTGAGTTGTCTTTTTCTCTGGGTCTCCCACATTCCACCTAGTGACCCCAGAACTACAAGTCCCTGGTAACCATAGCAACCATAGCTTAGTCTTCCCCCCTCTCTCCCTGCTCCTTCTCCCCTTTTTCTTTCTCCTCCTCCTCTCCCTAACCCCCACCCCTTCTCCTTTGGCTTGTGTACAAACCCTACCTCACAGTCCTATCAGAAAGGAACAGTCCAACCAGTGACTGCCCAGCCCCTCAAAGTATCCCAAGTCTCCCCTGCTCAGACCCTTGCAGTGCATCATGGGAGTATCTGAGAAGAGGGAAAAACCCTCCTCTGCACAAAAGAGAGTTTGGGATTGGATAAAGATAGATTAGGATAATAGACTGCCTAGCATGAGACAGGCCAAGGGCAGAGGGACCAGTGCCAGAAACAGACCAGTCCAGTGGCCTGTCCACAGTGAAGCCCTTTGGCTACATCCTTAGATTTACTCACAGATCTATCCAAAGACACACATATGCACACACACGTGCACGCGCATGTGCACATGCACCTGTGCTCACATATATGCATAAACCCAGGACACATGCCTAATTGGTGAACCCCTCCACAGGCATCCCCAGCATTCCTCCCTACTGTTCTGAGTCCAAACCTAGCTAGGAAGGGAGGAGATGCAGCACTCCTTTCCCACTTGCTCCTCATGCTCCCACCCAGGAAGGCAGCTGTGCAGGTGCCACCAGTACCCAGTCCCAGGGAGGACCCCCAGACCCCAAGATGCACTGCTGTCCGCCTCCAGCTCCCCACGCATGTCTCTGGTTGGACTGTCTGTGCCCATGAGAAACCCCCTCGGTTTGGCCATGTTGATGCCTGACAGAACAAAAGCAAGACCTACCAAAATGCAAACGGTTGCAGCAAAGAGAGATACAAATCCGCAGCCAAAAGCCAATTCCCTTCCTCAAAGTCTCTTTGGAGGCGAAGGAAGCTCAGCATGTGGTTTTTTTTCCATTTTGGATATAATAAGAGCAAGACTGGCGCCTCCTTCAGACCATGCATATATATAGCAGTGTGTGTATATATATATGTGTGTGTGTGTGTCCGTGTATATGTGCTATACAGCCGTATGGAAGCATATACAGCCACGCCAAGGGATCACTGCCGACAGAGGACCAGGCCCGGGCAACATATTGGCTATAACTGCCCTCCTCCTGTGATGCTGTAGTCTCCACAGGCCCTCCTCCCTTAACCTGTCCCTTTTCTCTGGCTCCAACCTGAAAGTGGAAGTGGCGGGTTCCCTCTTTGCTGGTGTCTCCCTGTCCCTCAAGCTGCCCTCTCCCTTGCCCTCCAGCCCCATCAGCTCTGAGCTTCCCACCTCTCCAACCCCCGCCGGATAACCCCCCATTTCTGTTGCAGATTTTGAGTTCCTGCTCCCCAGCAGCTTTGAGTCTGAAGGACATGTTTTCATTGCTCCCAGGTAGCTTGCGTGTGGCCTTGCTGAGGTGTCCTTCCCTAACCCCACCACCCTGGCCTACCTCCTGCACCACTGCCTGGAGCTGTGTGTGTCTGTGTCCTGTGCAGTGTCACCCCCTCCAACCCTCATACATAGCCTGGTATGTGCAGCTGTGTGCACACCCAGGCCATGTAGCCGCACCAGGCAGCAGTAGCCAGTGGTCCACAGCCCATCTCCCATCAGGCCTGGGGCAGGCGGGCTCTGGATTCTGCTCACCTTCCCTGCCCTCCCAGGCCACAAGGAAGGAATCCCTTGCTGGGCAGCTGCTGCTCTGGTTTGTGGTGTCCTGCCCATCCCTCCATCTGCACCCCATGGCTGTCCTGTGTCTGTCAGTATTTGTGTGGGTCTGGGGGCTGAGCCAACCAGAGCCCCTGTCAGCAGTGCCAGCAGTGCCAAGCCTAGTTGTGGTGGCTCACCGAGTTGGAGGGAGGGAAGGCAAGGGCTCTGAGGAGGTGCTGTACAAATGAGGGGTCAGGGCCTAGGGCCAGCCCAGCCTGGACTATCCCTTGAGTGCACGTTCAGCATCCACACACATCTTGGAGCACATACCTTCTGCCTTTGGTCCACATCTGAGGAGGCCAGGGCCCCCAGTTGTTGAAACCCTCTCTGTGACCAAGGTTTTGGATGAAGGCAGGTAGGTGCAGTGGACAGACACACTCTAGGCACCACACGGGGGCTCTGGAAACTCCAAACCTCCACGTACGCACACGCGTGCATGCACCCACAGACTTCTCTGTGATTCTTTCTATAGTTATGTGTGTGTGTTTGTGACTATTGTGTACATATATAAGAGCCAGAGTGAAGAGCCAGGTGTGGTAGTACACTCCAATCCCAGCACCTGGGAAGCTGAGGCAAGAGGATCACTGTGAGTTGGAGGCCAGGCTGAGCTACATAGTGAGCTCAAGGTCAGCCTGGACTATCCATGACCCTATCTCAAAAAAGTAAATGAATAAGTCAGAGTGTAAATTTGGTTGGGCCTGTGTATTAGGGACTAGGAGTGTATGTGACCTACATGACCCTGAGAGAGTTCACTGGAGAACAAGTCTGTGTTTCTGTTACCTCTGCATCTTTGACTCAGGAAAGCTCAATCGATATGTGTAGGGTGAGTGAATGAAGTACCTCACAGTTGTGGGTGTACCTACTATATGTATGGGAATATCTGGAACACAGCTCTGAGGATGCCTCTTTGGGAATGTCAGGTGTAGGCTCCAAGCACAGAGGCACAGGGTGTGTACTGCATAAAGGTTCTTGGGACCAAGGAGTGAACAGGGGCTGAGACCCAATCTCAGTTCTCCTCTCTAAGCTCTGAGCCCTAGCAGAGCCTGGGGAAGTGGCACATTTTTTAAATTCCCACAGAGTAGGTGCCGCACAGGCTACTGGAGAGGTCCCTGGTAGCAGGAGTATTGGGCAAGAGAGACAGCTCCATCTATCAGGGTAGAGATGCTCACCTAAACTTCCTGGACAGCAGAGCCTCAAGGAGGCCCTACCACACTCTCCATGTTTTCTGGACCCAGAATCTGATCCCAGTGAGGGCCTGGAAGAGGTGAGGGATTGGCCTACCTACTGCTGGGAGAAGAGTATTTTAGGGAAAGCCAACCTGAGGACTCACAGGTTCCTACTGACTCCTGCTACCCTCAGATGTGATGAAAAAAGTGAATTTCAAGTATCTTGAGTGGATTGCCCAAAGGTTCACAACCAGGAAGAAACAGGATCAGAGGCCAGTGCTTTAGTATTCAGTCCTCCCTTGTGGCTACAGGAATGCTGTAGGGGATGCAGGTGGCATTTCTAAGGCCTCCCAGGCACACCATTTGGTCCAGCTACACAGGAGAGATGGGAGACCTGCTCAGATGCTCAGACCTGGCAGCCTACAGCCACATAGCAGCTGCAGCCTGTAAGAACACACAAGCTCCTTCCTGCAGCCTGGGCTTCTCAACAAGTGGCCAGGTGGGCCTGTTGGGAGGCCTCAACCCCACTGCTCTGTCCAGCTCCCCAAGCCCACTCTTCTTGCCCCCCCCACCCCACCCCAGAGAGTATTGCAAGGATCTGAATGCCTCAGACAACAACACTGAGTTCCTGAAAAACTTCATTGAACTCATGGAGAAAGTGACTCCAGACTCCAAGCAGTGTGAGTATTTGGCAGAGCAGCTGGTTTTGGGTGGTACCCAGGCAACATGGGGGCAGAACATAGGAAGCTGGAGACTGGGAAGATGTAGTAGGTGCAAGCCCAGGCCAGGGCTTGAGCCAGGGCCCAGGGAATGCTCCTGTCGGAGCCTTGGGGGTGAGAGCAAGGGTGGGCTAGTTGCTGCAAGAAGATTCCCCTCCACTCCTGCCTCTGTTCCAGGCAACAATTTCCTTCTGCACAACCTGATCTTGGACACAGGCATCACACAACAGTTGGTAGAGCGCGTGTGGAGGGACCAGGATCTCAACACGTACGCACCATCCAGGCTGAGGGGGTAGGAGGCTGGGATAGGCCCAGAGGCCCTGACCCTGTCCAGTAGAAGGCAGGCCTGTGACCATATCTCCCTGCTGCCCCCAGGTACAGCCTGCTGGCCGTGTTTGCTGCCACTGATGGTGGCATCACACGCATCTTCCCCAACAAGTAAGTGACCTACCTTACTATCCAACACCTGCCCTGTCTGGAACCGTGCCCCTATTCTGCTACCCTGAGGCCACCTTGAACTGCTGAGACCACTGTCCCCCACAAACCACCCCTTATGTACCAAGCTCTGCCTCCCTTGGGTGCTCTAGGGCAGCTGAGGACTGGACAGAGAACCCTGAACCCTTCAATGCCAGCTTCTACCGCCGCAGCCTGGATAACCACGGTTATATCTTCAAGCCCCCACATCAGGACAGTGAGTGTCTGCCCAGGTTGCCTAGCAACAGGTGGTAACCCTCAGCATCCCTGGATTCTCATCCAAGGATAGGCTCTGCTCTCTGAAGCCCCTCTCAAACACGACACTGCTGAAACCAGGGCAGACATGAAGCAAGAGTTGGGCTGTGCCAAACACTGCGCTAGGTGCTGGGTACTAGGGTCAGCCCTCTGTTGATAGAGCCTAGGTTGGAGTGGTCAGTGTGGCTGCCAGCCCCCATCTCTGACTGGTATCCACCCCACCCCAGCCTTGTTAAGGCCGCTGGAACTGGAGAATGACACAGTGGGTGTCCTTGTCAGCACAGCTGTGGAGCTCAGCCTAGGTGGACGCATGCTGAGACCAGCAGGTTAGTGCCTGGGACGGAAGTGGGGAAAGAGGTAGTGAGCAGGGTGCTGCCCAGGCAGGTAATACCAATGGCCTCTTGCTCTCCCATACAGTGGTGGGTGTCAAGCTGGACCTGGAAGCTTGGGCTGAGAAGTTTAAGGTGCTTGCCAGTAACCGTACCCACCAGGACCAGCCTCAGAAGGTATGTGAACAGAAGAAGGAGTAAGCCTGGCAGTGCTAGGGACCCCATCAAGCTTCCCCTTCAAGAATACTCGAGCCTGGCCGGGGATTTAGCTCAGTGGTTTGGTAGCCTGCCTTGCAAGCACAAAGACCCGAGTTCAATCCCTGGTAC